AACAAACTAATGTTTATGTGGAATTGACAAAAAGATCTTTGCTTCCATTGAAAAATCAATAAGGCTTCAAATATTTAAAGGACAAAATCAATTTACATAGAATCCCTATTGTTATTTATTGCTGTCGCAATAAATTGAAGATAGATTTGGAAAAACACCTGTTAAAATGTGACTAATTGTGCTTGTTTTTCCCTTTTCTGTTCCTTTTCCATAGGTCTAGGATTCAGTATTGCAGGAGGTGTAGGCAACCAGCACATTCCTGGAGACAACAGCATTTATGTAACAAAAATTATAGATGGTGGAGCTGCACAAAAAGATGGAAGGTTGCAAGTAGGAGACAGACTGCTAATGGTGAGTGTGACCCCAAGCACGACTGCATGTGTATTTATAAAACTCTTATTTCCAAGGGTATGACTTAGTTTGCTCAGACTTCCATTACACACCATAGACTATGTGGCTGAAACAAGAAAACTTTATTTTCTTACAATTCTGAAGGCTGGGACTTTGAAGGGTGTAGTGTATTAGGTTTCTTTGAGGAATGACTTCCTGGCTTGCAGATGGCTACCTTCTGACTTCATCCTCACCTGGCTTTTCCTAAAAGCTCATGCTGACAGAAAGATCCTCTTTTCCTGTTATTGGGCCACCAGTACCATCACATGAGACCCCAACCTTTAATTCATTTTATCTTTATTACCTCCTAAAGGCCCTACCTCCAAGTACAATGACATTTAGAACCTCAGCATATGAAGTTGATGTCAGGGCATTGGCTATATACAAAAATTAAAAGGCAGAGCAGATTTCAGCAAAAGACAGCTCAAAAGTATGGTTGTGTCTGATTTGTTGATGTTTTTCAAGCAGAAATTGAAATTTGCACCAATTTTTTTGTACACGCATGGCATAGAGATTAGATGTTATTCTCCAGTCGTCTCCTATTAGTGATAGCAATGGCTACTTCAGACTACAAGAAAAGGGAATTTACATAACAAGAGGTACAGCATTATCTGGTTTACTAATATGAATGTGTCCATAGTTATTTTTTCAACTAGGGACATAGCTGCAGTAGTCATAGTCCCTCCCTGTGTGGCTTCTGCCACTTGTATAAATGGATTTCTTTCTCTCAGATTGGATTGCAGCTATAGTATTGGGTTTGCCAGCTGCCTACAAGTTTCAGGAGTCCTGGGTAATGGCTGATACTAACTCATTCTGAGCTATGGATTGCATAAAAAAGCTAAAGCAAAATTCAAGTAATTATAAATAGGAAAGCATTGACACTACACTGATATAACTGTTTTATCTCCATTGACTATTATATAGTAAATCTACAGGATAATAATCAAATATTAAAAATTCATAGGAGATGACCAAGTAAGATGAGCATATCTAGTAACATGTCTGCCTTTGTAAAACAGGGACTTTTCATTTATGTCTGTAAGGAACCATTATCTCCAGTGCTTTCAAGGAAAGTGTTTGGGGACTACTGATCTGTACCAATTCAACAAGAAAGCAATTTTCATGATGTGTACAAATTTTGAAGGTTAAATCCAAAAGTTTATTTTCATGATGCCCTTTTCTCTGGGCTCTGGAGTGCTTGCTTTAATACCAGCAGTCTTATTTTGTAGTTGTTGATAACCTTCAAATTAAATTATGTGCATAAGATTTTTATAATAAACTTGGTAGTTAACATTTATTTAGTATTTGCTACGTTCTGTATACTAAAGTACTTTTTGTACTGTAGCATATATATTTCTAACAACTGGACATTTTATATAAACAAAAGGCAATGGAAGCATAGAGGAATTTATTAATGTGTCCATGGTCTCATAATTAATAATGGAAAGAACTGGATTTCCAACTCAGGAAATCTGGTTTGTATCCATGCCTGTCACTACTGCACAATACTACTTCCTGTGAACAGTGTTTAAATTACTTTCCTTGAATTTTTCATTCAATTCCTTCCTTCTTTCCTTTATCCATTATTCAGTTATTCATCAACTCCATTAAAAACTGTATATAATCTGCCTACCATGTCCTCAGCAATAGCCACTATAGAGGAAGAAACTCTGGAGGATCAAAATATGCCCTAAAAAAATGACTTTCTTCAGAGTTTCAAGAATTTCGAGCTTCTTTACAACCTGGAATCACTACCATTTTCATTTTCATGAGATTCTGAAACATTTTTTTTTGTCTGCTTCTTTGCTTTCGATATAAAAGTTGGTTCTTTTGATGATATATCTTCTAAGGTCTAAAAATTGTTGTTGGGGTGTATTATTTAGACTATAAACTTCATTACCTGAAATGTGTGTTTGGAAGTAAAATAAATCATAATAACCATCTTTTACATAGTGCTTAACTTGAAAATGAAGAGGATAGTTTCCAGTAATGGCAGACAGTGACTGGATTCACCTTTAATTTATTGTTTTGTCAGATATTGGTTGTAGACAAGTCTGTTGGTGTTTCAATTGCTGATACTGTACATTTGTACTAGATAATATGGATGATTTTTGAAGTTCTGTTTATATTTCTAGCTTTATTTTCAAATTCTTAAGAAAAAACTAAAACTTCATCCAAATAACTCTGTCAAAGGGTTTTCCAGGCACCATGCTATTTTTCCATTACAATGAGCTTGAAACTCATTGAAGATATAATGATTTCAAAAATAGCTGTGACACAATTCTTAAGTGTTTTGAGTTTTAAGCCATGTTTTTTTTTTAAAGTGTTTTGAGTTTTAAGCCATGTTTTTTTTTTAAGTGAACCTTCAGCAATAATAAGTCTCTCCTCTCTTATGTGAGGAAAACATAATTAGTACTTCCAAGGTAACTGGCAAGCTGAATCTGGAAATAAAAGAAAATGGCTTGCTTTAAAATATTCTGAAAGAAAAATAACCCTTTGTGAAAAAGAATAAAGAAAAAAATCAGTAGAGCCACCCTAAAAGACCAATTATTTTGCTTCAGCCCCAAAATATTTATTGATACTCTTTTGTTTTTCTTTTCCACCTCCTCTTTCCTTTACCCTACATTTATAACTCTTTTTCTTCCTCCGCTTCTACTCTCCTCCCCCAAAGGAAGTACAAATGACTTAGAGCCTATGATTTACCAGCTGTACCAAACTCTGAGTATTTTTCTCTAAATATGCTATTCTTTCTAAAGCAATTTGCTCCACTTCTTTCACTTCTTAAGAAAAAAATCTCCCATATATTATTCAGAGTTCCATAAGGAAACTGTTTAAAATTAAACTTTGTTAATTTTCTTAGACTTTTGTGGATGAATACCTGTAATTCAGAAAAATCTCCCAGAATCTCCCATGCAGTGCGAACACACTTTTTTTTTTCCTTTTGGAATCTTAGTAATAACCTTTTCAGTTTCTCAAATAAAATTCCTGTCATTTGGGCACCACCTGACTCATGCTCTTTTTCTCTAATAACTTCTTATGTCTTAGAATCGAAAAGTATCTCATTTTTTCTTCTTAGGTGGTTCTGAGAATAAACTCTCGGGCTTTATGAATCCTAGATGAAGTGTCATTTTAAATGTCATCTGATTCAAATTGTCATTTGGAACATTAGAATCCTTTAGAAAAGCAAACACATGAAGTAGTACTTTACTTCTAATATAGCCCTTCTAAAAATGAAGACCTTAATTCTTCTTCAAAGGTCTCTATTAGGTACCAATCATCAGTAAAATCATGTTGAAATATATTTCCCTAAAAATTTCTCCCTTTATTCAAAATTTGTTCCTTAAAACCAAAAAGCAGGGACTAATTCCTCTTCCACACAGGTATGAGTTTTATATTGCCAATTCTCCACTTTTCAGTTTTCAAAATGATTTACACATTTTATCTCATTTGATAGTAAATTTTACCACACATTCATTTTTCTTCTATACATGGATTACACATAAAATTCCTTTGGATTCCTTATAATCTTATTTCCACATTTAAAACCCCAGGCAATTTTATAACAGCGACTACTGAATTTATTCTACTATAAGGAAAAATGATCCTGTTACCTTTGCAATAAGCCTCTTCCCATTTCAAATGAGTTATCTGTAATATAGGAACATGCCTACATTTCATGGGTTATCCAAATACATGCTTTATGTTCTTTTTTCTCAAAATTTTTTTTCTTGCTACTTGGCACTGTTTTGTGGAATAACAGAGACTTCTGATCTTTGTGGATGATACCAATACCTTAGTGTTATAATCCTGGACCAATTAGATTATCTTTTGGCCTTGAATTTCATGGAATAAATGGTCAAGAGTTAATGGCATGGAACATTTTCAAATTCTATCATATGTTTCCATGCATTGCTTTTTATTAAGCCCTTCCAAAGTGATACATAGAGCCAAATATATTATAGAAATATGATCACCTTCACCTTTTACTGTATAATTCCAGAAACGGAATCCAGGATCATTTGTCTTTTCTGCAGGGAATTCGTCATCGAGATCCTTGTCACGTTATAATTTAAGGTTTAAAATCTTATACTTTTTTTCTCTTATCTGACATTTGAAGAAACACTTGTCCGTGGGAGGACTTTACATCTATTACAGAGGATGGGCCCAGGTTTTTGTTCTTTAAAGGGTGGTAGTAGATGAAGGAAAAGCTAACAAAGGTATGGAAGTCAAATGGAATGATTGTTGGATTTAGACATGGAAGAGCAACTTCTGTCACAGGCAGCTACGTTGATTCCACCAAAATACCTTAGGCAAAGAGTGTGTGTCCTCTTTTTTGGCCTCTGTACTATGGTAGCACTGCCTTAGACCAGTATTTCCTAAAGAATGTTATGAAATATTAGTCACATTCCTATGTTACATTAAAGGCTTTGCTGCCAAACAAGTTTGAGAAATTCTGCACCTGCATCTCACCCTCTTGTTTTTTTCAGTGAGCTTCAGCATATTAGAAGCTCTGTAATTCCTGCAGTCAACAAACATTTGAATTAGTACTAAAATCTTCAAACTTACTCATGAAATTCTTTACATAAAATATTACTTTGGTTATAAAACACCTGCAACTAGTGTTTAGTGGAACGTACTCTAGGATGTGCTGTGTATAACATCTCTTAATTTTATTCCAAAATTAATATCTTCTGGTGAGGTCATCAAATGGATTTAGGTAATAAGAAACTATGCAGTATTTTGAATAAGCATTAGTCTCAATATTATTTTTGGTAGTTTATAAAATTGCTTGGTTTTATTCAAACATCAGTAATAAAATCATATTGAAGATAGTTCAAATGTATAGAAATTATCTGAATGAGAAATAGGACTTTAAAGGACATTCATTAGTTGTACTAACTTTAGATAAAAACCAAGTACCCAAGTTCAATCCCTGGTACCGCCCCCCCAAAAAAAAACCT